AAAAAAAAAACCATAGTACAGGTTTGTGTGACGTTGTCACAATAATGACTGAATGTTCTCAATCAATTGAACTTGGTTTTGATGGAATCCTTTGTTCTACCATAAGTGTAGCTCTGTCTATGTCTGTAAACCACCATGAGCCAGTCACCCTTACTGATGGGGAGGAGGATCTCCTTGATGAGAGTCATCAACAAGATGAGCTCTTCCTCTGAGTATCGAGAAATTGAACAATGGAAATATTTTTATTTTTGTCCGTTGGATGCCTTTTTTAACTGGTTTTAACTGTACTAGTAAAAATGAGCTAAAAATTTCTATTGGCTACGGTGCACTGCACTTCACTATCTCTATCTTTACTAGTGCGCCTAGTAGCCAGTAACTTTGAAGAATTCTTACTGCCCTGGACTTACCGAGGAAACAAAAAGAAACTTTTTTAGTGTAGATTTGTACAAACCCCGGTATATTAATTTTTGCAAATAAATTAGTACCTTTACCAAAATAAATTATTCATTTTTAACTAAAACATTCAGTCATTATTGTGACAACAAGTCATTCTACTAGCAATAACCTAGTTTTTGCACCGTAGTAAGTTTTTTTGGCCGCCACCGTCCTTAAAAAAAAAAACAAAGGCGGCGGCCGCAACCAATACGTAGATATGGTACACAAAATAATTAAGTAGAAGGACTTACTAGTAGTAGTAGTAATTTAGAGAGATGTTTTTTTTTTCTTGGTTGCTCATGAGATGTACTGTAGTGTAGCTTACAGCTCTGCTTCCGAAGGTGCGAATACGTCCTCGGAATTCACGAAGACGTCGATAGGTACACTTGGATTCGTAGTATCAAATCCAAAGTTGCTCTTACTGATGCTTCCCGCCACTACACCAGCAGCAAAAACTTTAATAGACTCGGCCACAACGTCCTTGACATCGTCGTTTTGTGGGTTGGGACAGAAGGGGAGAGGACCACATCCAGAATCTGTGAAATCACAGTGTCCAACTCCACGAGCGCTACCATTGTTGGCTCGGAAGAATACCCGATTGTTTTCTCCAGAAAGATTGTACTGAGATTTGCCAGCAATCTTTGGATCGACAGCACATGTCCTCCTTTCAAAGCCCCACGATAAGACGGGAAGGTCTGAAGCGATTTCAGTCGCTGGGGCTGCCTTCGCCCCGATACCCCGAATTCTATCCTTAGAGGCCTGGTAAGGGTCAAGCCCGATGAAACCATCCGGTTCGATGCCCCGATGCATCATTGCTTGGAGTCCTGCACGACCTCCGGCACTGTGACCTCCTGCGATAATTTTTGGTGATTTTCCCTCGCAAACCGGAACGTATTCGGAGAGGTTTTCAGTGAAAGCATTGTAGAAGTCAGCGTATTTCTTGTCATCGGTTTTGTCTAAACTCCCAGAATTGTGGTCGAAGAAGACGGTAACGATAGATGCACCTGCGGAAGTCTTCTTGGAAAGAATTCTGTAGGCCGAAGCTGGCATGGCTGTTCCGACGCCAATCATGACAACTACTCCGCACTTGTTGGCAACATCGTCATCATACGAGTAAATGTATCTTCCTTTTCCAGGGATTCTTTCGTTTCTAGAAATCAAAATTGATTTTTGACGCGTTCGTTAAGATCAGTTAGCAAAATGTTTTTGAACGATATCCAGGCACGAATACGCCTCTTCTACTCGAGAGGCCAAGTATGTTCAGACAAACGCCCACTGGCGAGCCCAACCATGCCAACGGATCGACCGCATACCGTCAAAACCAATTATACCCGGTGATGAACGATCAGCAGCAGTCATACCTCAATATCCACACGACGCAAACAGGTCCTATAATGCAACCAGAACGGCTCGAAGGGACAACGCTATCGTAAGAATTTCACATTTGACTTACTCCTTTAAGACAACATTGGTCGCTTGGACAGCCATTGCGAGAAAGAGGAGAAGAGCTGGAATTCGAATCGAGAGCATTGTTGATTTCTTTTGAACAAGTTGTGTTCCGTTTTGATACAGTAATGTAAGTGAAAAAAGAAAATAACAAAATAAACAAAGGCAGTTTCCCGATCGAAAGGACGCACTATTTCGAGAATATCGGCACTATCCTTTGAACCCAAGGAAAACATGACAGCTTTTTAGTAAGATTCGTGCTGGTGTCCCGATCAGTTGGCACATAGAGCTCAAGGCTTACGTCATGCGTCGTATTTTGTGTATTGCAAAACCTTCAAGATCTTTTCGTAACGTACGGCACTTGAATGCTCCCTCCAGAAAACAAACTACGTGAGGTACGCAAAATACAGTACAAGGAAATACTACGTAATACTTCTGCCTACGAGGTAAGTCTAATTAGGGGTAATAAATTTATGACCCCTGAGTCTAATGCGGTACTGTACGTATCTAGGTCATAATTTTAGCATTATGACCCATGTAAAGAGTGCTATTTTCAAGGCTGAACAACCTGATTGGCTGATACATTTCGCGCAAAACTTGAGGCCAGAAAACTCAAAGATCGAAAAAATGACTCATTTGATTCAATTTCGGAAGAAAGAAGAAAAACCCCAAAATGATTTCCGCAAAACTTCAGAAAACAAGGGACTAGAGAATTTTTCACACGTTAGTGCTGTAGTAATAGCAAGTTTTCTCGTCATTACGACGAATTCCGAATTGTTTCGGTCAAGATGAAAAACCGCTCTTTAATATCGTAACAAACCAAACTGAATAATGGCACCATATGTATGTATCCTGAATCAGACGTCTATCATGGATGGGATACTGACCCCTGACTTCAATATGGAGGAAGCATGAATTGGACTGAGTAGGTATCAGGGGATTGAAAAGAGATCTGCAACGAGCGTTGTGCCATGGTTGTGCGTTCCACAGAAAACCGAGAACGAACACGCTAGCCTTTTTGTTCATAAATTTTGATCCAAGACTTGATACTGGTTTCTTTCATTATTCATCCGTTGGAAGAAAGATGGCCCGCTAGCTAGGCGGGTACGAAAATGAAAAAAGAGCAACTGGCTCGTTTTTCGTACTCTCTTTTTCAGTCTCGAAGGACTGGCCAGCGTATATGATACGACACGACATACATTGCACACGTTACAAAAATAAGGCGAAAAGAGACAAATTGTATATGCGATACTCTACCTCCGTCGGTAAACGTCATGAAGTATCGAAACAAAACTGCCCACCGTCAAACTATTTCACTTCATAGACAGCACACAAGCGTCGGCAGGCCATTCTTGAGTTACTATAATAAAGTTGTAGAGTGAAAGACTACTACAAGTATCTTGGAACGCTTTGCATTTTCCCTTTCTTATGAAACTATGCTAGTCAACCAATTTCGAAAAGAATTGTTGTAGGCATGTTGCTGCAATTGCCTTTTTCCAATGCCTTAGACCGCATCGGAGGATATTCTTTTCCCATTCACAATTTTCTCGGGGAGTTCAATCAGAGTAGGAACACAGGATTTTTGATGGATACAACCTATCGAGAATCGATTGCTGGAACTAAGGAAGTAGAAACCTACTAGTTCTGTCGAAGTGAGTTGGAACTGCCATGCTAGTGGAAGGCGTCACAAGGGTTCGGAGGCACACGTTTTGCCTCCTCCTTGGTTTGATTATAACTGCTGGGATCATATCGAATCAATCGCAAGTAGAGGCAATGAAAGCTTCTCCTCACCCCTTCGTGGTGGAACAGGATGACGAGGAAATTATTCTGAAAATGAAAGGCGACGAATACCAGCACTGGATCACCGATGAAGACGGTAAGTAGTGTAGCCACCAATGCGGTTTGGGCAGTTTGTGTTATCAGGTTTGATAACTCTGTATAAAGTTTTGAAATGCTAGAAGACCTGTCAGCTAATGAATAGCATTTCATTTTCTCGTTGCAGACTACACTGTGATTCGTGACGAGAAAGGCTACTACATGTACGCAGAGTTATCTCCGGATAAGAAAAGACTTCTGCCGACAGTATATAAGGTGGGAAGGACCTCCCGGAAACGCCCAAAATCTAAAGATCTCAAACCAACCCCCCAGAACAGCGACGAGGACAAAAATGACAGACCAATTTTGGATGGTGAACCAGCAGTTACTACTTCGTCAAAGTCAAAGGCAAAGTCATTGAAAGGATGCGTCAGAGGCGGTGGGAACTCGTGCCGGAGCAGGAACGCCAACGATGCGCTTTTTAACACCAACAAAAAGACAAACAAGCAATACGACATTAACGATACCATCAGATTGGATTCGTTCGATAACCATCATCGCCGTACGGCCACAGTTCCAACGACCGGAACCCTAAAGAATCTTGTCGTCTTGATGATGTTTGAGGATCACAAAGGCCGACCGGTTCCATCTCAAGAAAATATTTCAATTCTAATGAACAGCGATGTTGTTGACGAAATGTATGCTCCCACTGGCAGTTTGAAAATGATATATTTGGAAAATTCATACGGAAAACTTACTATTGAATCAGAGGTTACGGATTGGATTGTCCTGGACAAAACCGAAAAATACTATGCGGACGGCGAGTCGGGTTTGGGAGCTAATAAAAGGTTCCACGAGGCACTAGAATATGCACTCAACACACTAGAAGCCAGAGGTTTTGACTTCAAAAACTTTGATATAAATGACGACGGAAGGATTGATAGCATTTCATTTTTGACATCTGGCTACGGAGCAGAATGGGGGGAAGGTAATTGCTATAGTTTTTTTCAACTTCTTGATTGCTCCCGTCTTCTAACATCACTTGGTTTTGTCTGATATGTTTTACGATTTGTTTCACGATTTGTTTTGTTTTGTTTTGAAAGAGGGGTACCAGGACAGGATCTGGTCGCATAAATGGAAATTAAGCACTGGTTGGCTTAGCGAAAGTAGTGGTGTCCGTATCAAGGATTACTTTGTCTCTCCAGCGCTTTGGGGAACCAGTGGGCAGGAAATCGGCAGGGTGGGGGTTGTTGCTCATGGTATGTCTTTTCAGTAAAGAGATGTTGAACACAAACCGTCGAAGACGAAGTCAATTGCTAATTACCTGTTTTTTTTTCTTTCTGAATCTTAGAAATCGGCCATTTTTTAGGCTTACCGGATCTTTACGACACTGATGGTTCTGGTAATGGACTCGGATTTTTCTGTTTGATGGCTAATTCATGGGGGCACGAGTAAGAATGTTGTGCAATCTAAGAAACTCCCGTTCTCGTCCATTTGGAACAAAAAATATTCATATCCTCACACTTTTCACTTGATATTTCTGTTTCGATACAAAGTGGGTCGCAACTTTATCCACCTGCAATGAGTGCGTGGTCGAAGATGGAACTTGGATGGACAGAGCCTCGAACTCCCACAATAGGGATTGAAAATCGTGTAGCTTTATCGGAGGGATTTGCAATTAGTAATGCACCGCATCAGCTATATAAGATCGGTGATGGACAATTTGGCTACCCAGAGGGCGAATACTTTTTGATTGAGTTTCGGAAGTCAAGTTCGTTGATGGGTGGGCTTGCAATTTATCACATTGACGAGAAAAGCAAGAGCTACAATATAGAGGGATACCCTGGTCAGATGGACGGAGAGCTAGGAGATGACGAAACAGCCATTGAGTGGCCGGCAAATGGAAACCACTACAAGATTGCATTGATAGCGGCTGATGGAAAGTTTGAGTTGGAAAGAGATATCAATCAAGGGAATTCGGCCGACCTGTACGGAATTGGGGAATCACTTTTGCCTTCTAAAAGTGACAATGGTCCCTTCCCGAACACCGATTCATATCAAGGTGGGAATATCGTTCGGACAGGTGTTCGAATTTGCGTTACATCGGTTCTTGGAGAATCCTACATGACTTTTTTGTTTTCAGATGGCACCCMGAATCAGCCATGGATGATTCGCGTGGCTGAAAATTTCGAGAACGGCTTCAGTAATGCTCTGTCGTTAGGATCGAATGCAAGGGTGGGCCAAAACAAAAACTGTAGAGACTCTGCGTGCGCAGAAATGAGAAAGAATGCAAACAATAACGATAGAGAGATTTTGTCGGCAATGGTTGAAACCACTTGCCTGACCGAACTTCGTGTGTCCCTTGACTTTTATTCGAAAGGTCTAAAAAGTGGAGAGCTCTTTCTTTTAGAGTACTCTGCAAGTGGTGGGTTGAACGATGACTGGGTTATCCTAAAGTCTTGGAGAAGGAACCGAAATCGGTTCCGCAACAAAATTTGGTATTCGGACTCGGCATCCTTAGCGTTGACCAACATGCAAGTGTTCAACACGGAAACGCCCTTTATTGCACTGCGCTTTCGAGCCCCGTCGATGGCGAGAAGAAAAGCTAAGGTATTGCTGGACAACTTCAAAATCGAGGGGAGATTTTAGCGGAGATGGCTCACGCCCGTTCTCTCGTTTTGAATTGATTCGTCTGATTCATTCCATTATTGGTGTCATCAATGAATTGCCTGCGAAAGAGAACTTTACATTACTGCTGGTAATAGTATTTTTCGCGTTTTCCAATCCACTTCAAATAGATTAAAAATACAACGACGAAATAGCGTAGCATTCAGTAATACTAGGCTACTAGTACTAGTAGTAGTGCCAGCAAGAAGTAAGAAGAACAAGAAGCTAGTAGTTCTAGTAGTCTTTCTAAATCCCCCTAGTAGTAGTACTAGTAGCAAGAAGAAGAAGGAAAAAGAGCTCTAGTACTAGTAGTAGTACTAGTAGTAGTAGTAGTAGTAGTAGTAGTAGTAGTAGTAGTAGTA